ACTGTATTTAAGGCTACCTCAGAGCCTAACAAATCTAACCTGAATGAGGGGCTTTGGGTACCAGCGCCTCGGAATCTGAGACAACTTCCCACTTCATCCACAGCGTACCCGGGGTTCCAGGCTTGCAGGAAGGGACATAAGATATGCTGCTTCTTTGTTATGTTGTTCTTCTAGTTATGGGGCACAGCTGTTAGCTGTCAGGAAATAAACTACTTGTGTTTGACAGATACTTGTGTGGCGTATTTTGTACCTTGAGAGCCCAGTGTCAGACCTGAGACTTGCTCTGGCCAGCTACACCCCGAGACCGCCGATAGTACTTTTGGATAATCCCTGAGGACTGCCAACTCCTCCTGCCACTGATTCGCCCTCAGCTCATCTCCTAACCCTACTACTTTGGGTCCTTCCAACTCCCCTGCCCAGGGCCCCAAGTCGACAGAGGGTGAGGAGGGGTTTATTAACAGGCTCTCTCATGGGTTCCATTTATTTTAATAAATTGAGGTGGTAGACCTGCTTCTCCGGCCCCTCACCTACCAACCGGACCTCATAATCTACAGTTCCTACCTTACGGATAATCTCAAAAGGGCCCTGCTCCTTTTCCAACAATTTTGACTCCTTCGTGGGCAGGAAAAGTACGACTTTATCCCCTGGTTTGAACTCTCTCAACTTAGCCTCCTGGCTGTAATACTCTGCCTGTTTCTCCTGAGCCTGCAGCAGATTGGCCTTGGCAAAATCCCCTAACCACCACAGCCTTTCCCTTAGGTGTAACACATAGGGAATCAAACCCTGGTCCCATGATTCTTGTTCCTCCCATTCTTCCTTAACTAGATCCAGAATACCCCTTGATTGCCGCCCATATAAAAGCTCAAAAGGGGGAAACCCCGTGGACAATTGTGGAACTTCCCTTACCGAAAACAGTAAAGCTGATACCAACTTATCCCATTCCTGGGGGCCTCATCCGTAAAACACCTAAGCATACTTTTTAAGTGTTCAGTTAAATCATTCAGCTAGCCTGTCCGTCTGCAGGTGGTAGACGGACAGATGCAAGGTGTTAATGCATAGCAACCTACATAATTCTGCCATCAATCTAGAAGACACATTGGTCTGCTGGTGGGTCAATATCTCTTGGGGGATCCCCACCTGAGAGAAGATCTTCACCAATTCCCTGGCTAGCGTGGGGGCTCTAGTATTCTTTAAAGGAACAGCCTCAGGGTACCTCGTGGCATAGTCCACCAGGACTAATATGTATTGATAGTCTGCCTTAGACCTTTCTAAGGGACCAATGAGGTCCATAGCTACCTGATCGAAGGGTACGCTGACCACTGGTAATGGTACCAGAGATGCTTTTGGCCCTGACTGGGGCTGGGCCAGCTGGCACTTTGGGTAGGAGCTGCAAAAGTCCTGCACCTTCCTATGTACCCCGGGCCAAAAAAACCTTTGGGTAATTCATTGAAGGGTCTTTTCCCTCCCCAGGTGGCCGGCCCAGGGATTAGCATGAGCTAGCTGCAATATGTGCCTTTGGTACTAATAGTTGACATAGGGGTCCCCGTCCACCTCCTGCCGCCGTTACCCAATATAGGCGGTCCCCTCATACTTCAAAATAACGCCCTTGGGGACATTCTTGCACGGTGCCTTGCTCTCAGTCACCTATCCCGGCTTGCTCCCAGGCCCTCGATAGGGAGGGATCCTGTTTCTGCTCCTGCAGGAAGTCTTTGCCCGTCACCCAGTCAGTTGGGTTGTTCAGGCCTCCCCGAGATGCCGCCCCTTGGCTCGTGTCAAGGGTCTTGTCTTTTCCGATTGCCAGCTTCTGAGCAGCTAAGGCACCCGTAGGCTTGCTGGCGTCTTTCTCCCGAACTGCCTGTTGACTCCAAGTCCCTACAATTTGTTGGCACCCCGGCCAGTCCCACCCCAACAGCATGGGGTATGCCAACTTTGGAGATAGGGTCACTTGGCATATTACCTCGTCTAGCTCATCCTCTATCTGTACCTACGCCGTGGGGTAGGGCTGCACGTCCCCATGAATGCACCGCATCCATGCTAGCGCCCCCGCCAGTTCATGTTCAGTAACCAGATCGGCCCTAACAATCATTTGCCCACACCCTGAATCCACCAGGGCGGTTATTAGGGTTCCTTCTATTTTTACCCGGACCATCAGCTTTCCCAAGTCCCTGGGGCAGGCTCCGGGAGCTAAGGGCACCACTTGGCTGTATGAACAGTCCATATAGGGACAGTCTCTTTGGAAGTGCCCCTCTTGGCTACATTCATAACAACACCCTCTGGTTCCTCCACCTCGCGTCGGGCTACGTCTACCCTCATCCCCCGAGCTCCTTTTCCAGTCCCCGAGGCCTCTGTTTTGGCAGTGACTAGTCTTTCTTCCTCCCTGTACAGTGGAGGCCCACCTACCCACCGCCCTCTTCCTCCTCGGGCCGGGAAAGTTCGAATGCCTACATTAGCCACCCTAGTTCGAACTAGGGTGGCAGTGTAGACATACCCTAAGCGACATAAGCAAAGCTGCAACTTGGTCCTCCCAACACAACTTTGCAAAACGTTCCACCATCACAATTCCTACTAGTTCAGTCAGTCTGGCTATTCTGTTTTTCATATCCAGAGCATGTTTTTCATATCCAGACCATGGCCTTCGCGTATAGCCCATCCTGCCATACTAGGCCCCTCAATGAAACCAGACCGTGAGATACTCAGAGCATGGGGAGCACAATGCAGCTTTCTGTAAACAAAATTTAACCTTACAGGCATCCCGGAACTTACAGGCTCTGAAAAATAGGGAGGTGAGCATGAAAAGATAGAACACAGCTGCAAGAGATAAATAAGACTCTCTTGACCGGTCCTTGAAGGTAGGGAGGTAGGCATAGGAAGATAAGACGCAACTGCCATGCACACTGACCATGCCCACACCCGTCACTGTCCACGGGGCCGTCAGGCGGGCATCATGAAAAATCCTATAGGGCAGTATTTTACGTTATCTTATTACCAGCCTATCAGGCCCAGTCAGGGAACAAATCCTAATAAGATACCGGATATCAGGTTATGTTATAAAAGACCCTCAACCCCTTTGTTCAGCGAGGTTCTGAGTGTTGAGGGCACGTTTTTTTTTGCCCAGCTGAAGGATTGATCACCCTGAGGCTGCCTCCCCTCGAGTCAAAGATAGGGGTGTGCGAGTCCTGAGCATGCTCCGAGTTTTAGTGTGTCTTTATGTTGTTATCGTTGCTGGATTTGTAAGTATTGTATAAATATATTAGTTATTGGTTTAGTTAACAGATGAATCGTGTTAATTTCACTGTGTAATTCTGTAAAGTGTAACTGAATTCTATTAACCACACTGTGTAAATTGTATAATCTTGTGTTGTGTAGTGGTGTTGTATTTACGCTAAGTATAAGTGTTAGAAATAGTAACCCAGGAGTTGTTAAGTTATAAAGGTAGATTAATAACTAACTCTACCTACTGCCTAAAATAACCATAGAGGGGCTGGCTGTGGACAAAGGTTTTATTATCATTATATTGGCTTTGTTTTTGTATTTTTTGCTTGCATGCTGCGCTGCCTTAAGAGAATTAGAAACAGTCATTTGGTATAGTTAAATTGTAATCAAAGAAGTTTGTAATTAGTTAAGTATAGCTAAGTTTAGGTTTTTCCACCCTGTATAAGCATTAGGTAATTGCTTGTTTTTTAAAATCATTTGAAAGTTATTTGGTTTTGATAAAAGAATCATTCCATTTAATAAAAAATAATTTGTTTCACCATCATCCAGTAGTTTTCACTGGGTAGTTGGCTTTAACCCTTGAGGCTCCCACCACATCACTGAACCAAGGTGTAACAGATTCCATTCTACAGAAGCCTAGAGTGGAGCACTCACAGGAACAGCACTCAAAGGAGAAGTTACCTTGTGCAATAATAACGGTTCTTTGACATATGTGTTCCTGTGGGTGATCCACTATCATCCTCCTCCCTTCTATTTTGGAGTTCTCCTACTGAACTATATAGTAGAGAAGGAACAGAGGGAGCTACGAAGTCTATGCAAGAGTTGGGCACCAGTGGCACCACAAGATGATGAGTGCTCATGCGCAGTAGGGTTAGGTACTGCTAGGAAAAATCTCTGATTGCCAGTGCAAGGATGCACTGATACATAGGGTGTAGCACTGGCAGAGAGGCACATCTTGAAGAATCATTGTTACTATGCACGGTAACTTCTTTGTTCATTTTCATCATTAAACTAACTCCCACATTACGGCACATGGATTAGAAATGTGGTCCTTACTAAATACCACAGGAACTAATGTCCTTTAAAGGCAACCAACTGAAACTGGGAACATTTATGGGCATGAGGAACAATATATTTTGATTTGTTTAGGAAATATATTCTCATAGCAAAAGCCAGTTGTAAAATTATATCAACAACAGATGTGAATCCATTTCAGAGGCAGTGTTTGGTTCTTATTTTTATTTTGACAAATGGGCTGTAGAAGGATATCTTGGTAAGTAAAAGTAGACTGCTCATAGTCCAAACCCAGACACAGCAGTTTTTCCCTTCAAGAGAAAATGTAGAGATAACTGGAAGCCAGATCTCTCACAGTCACTACAGCATGTGAAGGACTGCACTGTGTTGACTGAACAGTAGGTCATGCATGTGGTTCATCTCCAACATGGTAGTTCTGAGATACAGGTTCGTCTCTATTACAGAAATATATCAAGAGATTAGAATTCCACCAAAATAAAATGGTAATGAAAATGACAAAGATTAGTAATGAGCATACTATATTGTGAGAGTGATGCCTCTGAATATAACCAAGAGTTACCACTTAAACAAAAACAGCTATGTAAAACTGACACAGGTTCTGTTGTTTAATTTAGTAATTTAGAAAATATCCAAAAGTGGTACTGAAAATATTAAAGATAATCTATTATTTGCAATATTTAAATACTCAGCAGCATCACTAGAATGAATCTCTGAACTGTTTTGTAAATATTTTCCTATTTTGTTTTCTATAGGAGAGCCAATGAGCGGAGAACAACTTCATAGAGCTGTCAGTATGAATGATGTAGAAGGAGTTCTTAACATTCTTCAGGGAGGGTGAGGAAATACTCAGATTATAAAATGTCTATAGTGTTAAAATGGACATGAAATCATATAAACTGCATGATGCTATTGTGTTTTGTTTCAATGAACTAGTTTCCTCATGCCCTAAAATTAGACTGTTCATTTTATGGTAAAACAACACAAATTTGCTTTCTGTGTGCTGTCATTTTACAAATGGAATATGCGATTTGGTTTTGGTCATTTTTCCTTAAAAACTGTATATCAAAAATAGAAGGTATCCAAATTCATGCAATGGGAAATGATCAGAGGCATGGAAACACTTCCATGTGAAATGAAATTGAAGAAATTGGGAATATTTATTTTACAGCATTGACATATTAAGCAGGGGGAATATCCTAAAGAGGATACAACAAAGAAAATTAATCCGGCACGTGCATTCACCCCTTTTTGTAACACAAGAAAAAGGGGACTTGTGATGAAATAGAAAGGTAGAGTTTTCAAAACAGATGAAAAGAAACACTCTCTTTTCTTATAATGCAGAGGTAGCTTGTGGAGCTAATTGTCTCAAGATATCACTGATACGACGAGTTTAGCAGAATTCAAAAAAGATATTTTTTATGGATAATGAGAACATACAGAGATTCAAAAATAAGGAGAAAACAACCCTCACCCAAGTACTGGAAGGAATATAACATCTAATGCTTTAGGCTTTAGGCTAGGGATGTATTTCTTTAATATTGATTTTAAAAAGTCAGCCAGTTAAATGATTATATTGTTAACCAATTAACCATTGGTGTGCCAGTGCAGAGCAGCTGGGACGGGGAGCCTCACAAGGACTGCCGTCCTTCTGTGTCTGTAGGGTGGGTTCTGCTGCATACCAGCCTGCTCATCAAGGCCACTCTGGTGTGGCCTGGGCTGGGGTCCTGCCTGACTATGCTGGTGTAGCTCAGGATCTGCCTCCCTGCTTGGCCTGCTCTAGCAGCCAGTGTCCCACTTGGTCGCACCAGGATGGTTGTGAATAGGGTCCCGTCTGTCCATCAGAGCTGCTCTGGTGTGGCTGGGACTGAGTTCATGCATTCTGGCTCCAGTGTGATCAGGTTTCCACCTCGTTGCTGGGGCCATTCCAGTGCAGGCAGGATCCTGCCTGCCCACTATAGTCACTCTAGCATAGCTGCAACTGGTGTCCTGCTTGCCTGCCTGCATCCTTGTTCCAGCGCTGCTTGGGTCCCTTCTGCCTGTTGGGATGCTCTGCAGCCATTGAACTGGGTCCCTTCTCCTGCCACATGTCCCTGCCTGGTGCCCTGACATGGCTTGTGGCAGCCAGGGCTGCTATGGCCTGGTGTGGCTATAAGTCTAGTTAACTGGTTACCCAGTAAGCATTCTGCTAAGCCTAATGCTTACTGGGTAAGGATATATCTACAAAATATAGTATAGCTTATTTCAAAATAACATGTCTAGACACAAAATGCATTTCGAAATAGCTTTTTGCTATTTTGAAATAGCGTGTCCACACTGATAACATAAGAACATAAGAATGGTCGTATTGGGTCAGACCAAAGGTCCATCTAGCCCAGTAGCCTGTCTGCCAACAGTGGCCAGTACCAGGTGCCTCAGAAATGGTGGACTGAAGACAATGATCAAGCGATTTGTCTCCTGCCATCCTTCTCCAGCCTCTGACAAACAGAGGCCAGGGACATCATTTCTATCCCCTGGCTAATAGCCTTTTATGGACCTAACCTCCATGAAATTATCTAGCGTCTCTTTAAACTCTGTTATAGTCCTAGCCTTCACAGCCTCCTCTGGCAAGGAGTTCCACAGGTTGACTACACGCTGTGTGAAGAAGAACTTTCTTTTATTCGTTTTAAACCTGCTACCCATTAATTTCATTTGGTGTCCTCTAGTTCTTCTATTATGGGAACTAATAAATAACTTTTCTTTATCGGCCCTCTCCACACCACTCATGATTTTATAGACCTCTATCATATCCCCCCTCAGTCTCCTCTTTTCTAAACTGAAAAGTCCCAGTCGCTTTAACCCCTCCTCATATGGGACCCGTTCCAAACCCCTAATCATTTTAGTTGCCCTTTTCTGAACCCTTTCCAAGGCCAAAATATATTTTTTGAGGTGAGGAGACCACATCTGTACACAGTATTCAAGATGTGGGCATACCATAGTTTTATACAGGGGCAGTAAGATATTCTGGGTCTTATTTTCTATCCCTTTCCTAATAATTCCTAGCATCCTATTTGCCTTTTTGACCGCCGCTGCACACTGCGTGGAAGTTTTCAGAGAACTGTCCATGATAACTCCAAGATCTCTTTCCTGATTTGTCGTAGCCAAATTAGCCCCCATCATACTGTACGTATAGTTGGAGTTATTTTTCCCGATGTGCATTACTTTACACTTATCCACATTAAATTTCATTTGCCATTTTGTTGCCCAATCACTCAGTTTGGTGAGATCTTCTTGGAGTCCCTCACAGTCTGCTTCTGTCTTGACTATCCTAAACAGTTTGGTATCATCTGCAAACTTTACTACCTCACTGCTTACCCCTTTCTCCAGATCATTTATGAATAAGTTGAAAAGGATTGGTCCCAGGACTGACCCTTGGGGTACACCACTAGTTACCCCTCTCCAATCTGAAAATTTACCATTTATTCCTACCCTTTGTTTCCTGTCTTTTAACCAGTTCTCAATCCAAGAAAGGACCTTCCCTCTTATCCCATGGCCATGTAATTTACACAAGAGCCTTTGGTGAGGGACCTTGTCAAAGGCTTTCTGAAAATCCAAGTATACTATATCTACTGGATCCCCCTTGTCCGCATGTTTGTTAACCCCTTCAAAGAACTCTAATAGATTAGTAAGACAGGATTTCCCTTTACAGAAACCATGTTGACTTTTGTCCAACAAATTATGTTCTTCTACATGCTTCACAATTTTATTCTTTACTATTGTTTCGACTAATTTGCCCGGTACTGAAGTTAGACTTACCGGTCTGTAATTGCCAGGATCGCCTCTAGAGCCCCTTTTAAATATTGGTGTCACGTTGGCTACCTTCCAGTCATTAGGTACAGAAGCCGATTTAAAGGATAGGTTACAAACCACAGATAATAGCTCAGCAATTTCCCATTTAAGTTCTTTTAGAACCCTTGGATGAATGCCATCCGGTCCCGGAGATTTGTTAACATTAAGTTTTTCTATTTGTTCCAAACCCATTTTTCACTTTGTAAATAGTTGTGTAGTTTGATAGTTAGGTTTTTTGTTTTGTTCCTTCCCCCCGTTGGGGGTGAGGAATGCCAGGGCCGCGAGGCTTTAAAACGTGCGCTGACTGCAGGAAGTTTATGCCCAGGGGCGACAATGGTTCCCGTTTCTCACATTGTAAATAGTTTGTGTAGTTAGTTAGGTTTTTTGTTTTGTTCCTTTCCCCTTGGGGGTAAGGAATGCCAGGGCCGCGAGGCTTTAAAACGTGCGCTGACTGCAGGAAGTTTATGCCCAGGGGCGACCCACACGACAGCTGCCTTAAGTGTCTGGGTGAGGCCCATTTGGCAGTAGCCTGCAAGATCTGCAAGTCTTTCAAGCCTTGTACCAGAAAGGACAGAGTTTCCCGCTTGAAGCTTCTCCTTATGGAGACGGCGCTTCAACCGGCACCGATGGACCAGCCTGCGGTGCGCAGCGCACTGGCCTCCACGCGCGAGGCCATACACCGGCACTGGGCGTCGGCGGCAGGCTCCCGGCACCGGTCTCACTCTCCCCCTTCTAAGAGGGTGAAGAAGTCCCAGGGCAGGTCCCCGTCCAAGAAGCCGGCGTCAGCTGGACACCGCACCGCTAGCTCACCGGTGCGTGCCTCCCCTCTGGTGCACCGTCGGCACCGAGGGGGGCTAGCGAGCCCGGGCCGCTTGCCCTCTCATCGTCTGTCTACGCCGGACACCTTTGAAGTGGCACAGGACTTAATCAGCTTTACGACCTCCCCGCCATCGTCGGTTGACTCGGACGGGTCAAGGTCGCCCACGGGGCAAGCCCCAAGGGCGCCGCTATCGCCCTTGCATGACCAGGGTCAGCATGCTAAAGTGGCATATGCGTCGGGACCAACCACGCTGGGTTTGGCTCCCACTGCTACTACGGGCTCCTTCACGACGCCGGGTCGTCATTCCCAGGGAGCCTCGAGCCATGGCAGGCCATTGCTCTCCAAGTTGCCAGAGCCCCGCTTGGCCGTACCGGTGCCATACTCCCAAGGCTATCTGGCTTCCCAAGAGTCGACGTCCGTCTCCGTGACTCAGTGGTCCACCCCGGTACCAGGCATGGGCACCCCAGTACCGCTCGAGTTGGACACGACTCGGTTGGCATCAAGCCTGAGCACCTTAGTGCCGTACCTATTGGCCACGCAACAGGCACCAGGCCTGGACACCCTGTTGCCGCAGCCACAGTTGGCGCAATCGACACCGGGCCTGGGCACCCCGGTGTCACGGCTGCAGTCGGCGCAATCGGCACCGGGCCTGGGCACCCCGGTACCGCAGCCCCAGGCGGCACTGCTTCCACTTTTTCAGCCATCGCAACCGGCACCAAGCTTGAGCACCTCGGTACTGCAGTTACTGGCAACGCAGCTGGCACCGGGCCTAGGCACCCTGGTACCGCAATTGACGCACACGGCACCGAGCCTGGGTACCTCGGTGCCGCAAATGCCACCTCAAACAGCACCGGGCTTGGGCACCCTGGTGCTGCAGTTACTTACTGGGCAACCGGCACCGGGCCTGGGCACCCCGGTGCAGCAGCTGTTGGTGCCATCAGAGTTCGCCGCACCGGGTCTGGGTGCCCCGGCCCAGC